TAGATCTCACGGAAGCCTACCTTCACATTCCCATTAACCCAGGTCACCGTCGGTTCCTACACTTCTGTTACGGAGGCAAACACTTCCAGTACATGGCTCTCCCTTTCGGCCTTTCCTCAACACCCAGGGTGTTTACCAAAATACTGGCAGTAGTAGCTGCCAAACTCAGGAAAATCCCAATACGCGTCCAGTGTTACCTAGACGACATCTTAATCCAAGCAACATCCTTACAAGCAGCTCAGGCGGACGTAAGGACCGTCATTCGCATACTTCAGCAACATGGCTTCTCAGTAAATTTCCAGAAGAGCCAGACAGTTCCCTCGTCCAGGCTGCTGCATCTGGGAGCCACGATAGACATCACTAACTGCATGGTCTATCTCACCCAGGAGTGGGTGGTCAGCATCAGGGAACTGGCTTGCCGGGTATACAGACAACATACAGTTCCTCTGGTAACTCTCTCCCAATTATTGGGAAAGATGGTCTCCTGCATAACCATAGTGCCCTGGGCCAGGCTTCATCTGCGGGACCTGCAGTGGTTCCTGCTTCCATTCTAACAGCAGAGCACCAGCGCATCCAATCACCTAGTCAGGGTTCCGTCGCACATCCGCAAGGCGCTCCACTGGTAGTGCTCTCGGGCTGTGACCAAGGGGTCACCCTTCAAGGAACCAGACAGGGTTACCATCACGACAGATGCCAGTCTGTACGGTTGGGGAGCCCATCTGCACTCTCATTTTGTGCAGGTACGATGGTCCGCCGCGGACCTGAGAAACAACATCAACTGGCTAGAACTCAGGGCGATCCACCTAGCCCTACAACATTTCAGACACAAAATCATTGTCCTCACGGACAATGTGGCAGCCAAGGCACACATCAACCGCCGGGGGGGCACTAGGTCCAAAGCCCTCATGGCAGAGGCACGACTCCTGTTCGCCTGGGTAGAGTCCAACCTGGGGTTGATAAGGGCGGAACACATATCGGGGATCAACAACCAACAAGTGGACTTCCTGAGCCGTGCCACAGTGGACCCTTCGGAGTGGGGGCTACATCCGGACCTGTTCTTAGACATCTCCCACAGGTTCGGGCAACCAATCCTCGACCTGTTCACATCGTCGGACAATGCCCAACTCCCCAGATTTTACTCCCGCTATTTCAATTCAGGGGCGGAGGGGACAGAAGCATTAAGAATTCAGTGGCCACAAGGCCTACGTTACGCCTTTCCCCCACTTCCGCTCATACCGGCGGCTATCCGCAAGTTGATCCACGAGCGGGCAGAAGTGAGTTTTGTGGCACCTTATTGGCCACAGAGACCGTGGTTCGCCGACCTGATGAACCTGTCTCAGTCGCCCCCGTGGAAAATTCCCCCTCACCGAGTGTCTCTGCACCAGGAAACCATCTGTCATCCGGAACCTCAATGGTTGCAGTTGACCGTCTGGCGCTTGAGCGCTGTATAATGACGCAGGAACTATTCTCCCCTTGCGCCATTACCATGATTCAAGCTGCACGCCGCCCAGTGACCAATCGCATATATGATTCCACTTGGAAAATTTTTTGCCTTTGGTGCAGGAAGCGGCAGTTTGACATTTCCAAACTTACCATTCCTCAGATAGTAGATTATCTTTTGGATGGGCTGGACAGAGGCCTTGCCCCTGCGACTATTCTCAGGCAAGTGGCAGCTCTTTCCACTCTCCTCACCTGCGTGGACAGTCCCCTTAGCTTACCATCCCAGGATTCGCGCCTTTATCAAGGGTGCGTGTAACACCAGACCCTCCGTGGTTCACAGGTACCCATCTTGGGAATTGCTGCGAGTACTTCGCGCTCTCATACAGTCACCCTTTGAACCATTGACGACCGTTTCCTTACGACACCTGTCACTAAAGATGGCGTTCCTCATTGCCATCACATCGGCCAGACGAATTTCGGAGCTGGCCGCACTGTCGGTCAGGAATGACCTCTGCATTTTCCACAGTGATAGGGTGGTCCTTAGACTAGATCCCTCCTTCATCCCGAAGGTGAATTCTCTTTTTCACAGGACACAAGAAGTTATTCTCCCAAACTTCTGTCCAAACCCAACACATGACTGGGAGCGGCAGTGGCATACATTGGACGTCCTCAGGGCATTGCGGCGTTACATAAAACGCACGGAGTCTTTCCGCAAGTCAGAGGCCCTCTTTGTGTCCTTCCGACCGGACACTCTGGGGCGGAAAGTTTCCGCCAGCACCATTGGAAGGTGGATCCGAAACTGTATCGTGGAAGTGTACCAGGTATTGTCTCTGCCGCTCCCAAGTCATCTCACTGCCCATTCCACTTGAAGTGCTGCAACCTTGGCGGCATGGGCTATCCAGGTGTCCATCGAGGAGATTTGCAGGGCCGCGACATGGTCCTCGCCTTCCCCATTTGTACGCCACTACAAGATCGACCGGTTTGCTTCGGCGGATGCCTCCTCTGGTAGGAGGGTCCTCCAGCAAGTGGTCTCAGAGATCAATCTTCTGGCCTTATCTGTCTCCCACCCATCGGGATAGTGAGGCTTTGGTATGTCCCATTGGTGGATTCTCCATTTCCTGTACTGGAGAAGGGGCATTGGTCTTACCTGAACGCCTTTTCTCAGTACGGAGATAGAGAATCCACACCCACCCTAAGGTCAGTTAGGCCGTTATTAGGGAACTGAGAGCCAACACCTTGTCAGCCTTCAGCCACTTCGCCCTCGTTAAGAATGGATCCTCTAACAAGAGGGTGTGTGTCAAGTTTTGGCTACTTGGTCTCAAGAGCAGGCAGACAGAGAAAACCCATTGGTGGATTCTCCATCTCTGTACTGAGAAAAGGCGTTCAGGTAAGACCAGCGCCCCATCAGCCTGACAGCAATACCTGGAAAGATCCTGTAAAAGATAAGCAACAAATCTGCAAAAAACTAGAAGCAACCAAACTTATAACCAAAAGCCAATATGGGTTCGTCAAAAACAGATCATGTCAGACAAATCTTATTTCATTCTTTGACAAAGTGACTAAATTATTGGACCAAATTATGCTATGCTGTAGACATAGCATAATTGGATTTGAGTAAGTCATTTGGCAAACTAGATTACAGCCTACTTCTTAGTAAGTTAGAAAAATGTGGGATAGACAGCATCACCACCAGATGGATTCATAACAGGGTAGCAAACCATACTCAACATGTAGACCTTAATGGAATTACATCCACATTGAAGGAGGTAGGTGGTGAGATATCCCAAGGTTCCATTTTAAGCTCAGTACTCTTCAATATCTTCATAAATGACCTATATGAGGGAATAGAAGGGGAACTCATCAAATTTGCAGATGACACTAAGCTGGCAAGAACAGCCAATACCCCAGAAGATAGGCTCAAGATCCAGATGGATCTCAACAGACTTGAACACTGAACTCTAACTAACAAAATGAAATTCATTGTAGAGAAAAATAAGATTTTACATTTCAGCAAGAAAAAACGTACAGGTACAGATTAAGTGAAACCTGGTTCAGTAGCAGTAACTGTGAGAGGGATCTTGGCGTTCTAGTGGATAATCACTTAAATATGAGCTAACAGTGTGCAGCAGCAGCTAAAAAATCCAATGCACTCATGTTGAGTTTCTGGAAAGAGTGCTAACACCTGCAGTGATTCACTTAAAAACTGTGGCAAGAATAGTCAAAATGGAGCAAAACACACTTAACAAATGTCTCTCATACCAACAGAAATTTTGGGTTCAGTTGTCATAAGTTGAGGACTACTTGTGTAAGAACTTAAATCAGAAAAAAATAAACCACAACATGTCTCTGCATGATCTGTGAATTAACTACAGAGAATGAGATTCTGAGACAAATAATTTTCCTAAATTTGGGGTTCCTTATTGGTGTCTGGTTATTTTTGCTGTACTCATTGACTGTCAATTTTGGCTACTGGTCATTCACATTGGTAAGAAGGATAGGACAAGATGTGAACTGGCCATGATGTGCCATACTATTGATCACAAGGTTGATTTGGTTGACCTGGTTGGTTAAGCAAGTGTCCTTTTCCTCCCTCAAAACTCCACTTGTGTTCCCCCCACCCTCAAAGCTGTGTGCTCAGTAAAAAAGGATGACCATCCCAGATAAAAAGAGTATACAATCTTCAATCAAGGATATACAATCAAGAGACACATTGCTTAGCGGTGTTTTGTTTTGTTTTCGTATTTGTCCTGTGTTTTTAGAAAAATATTTGCTATACCTATGTTACTGGTAACTGGTTCCTAGATTATTTACCTTTTTGTATGTCAAAATTAAATTCCTTCTATATGGGATCATCTATATTTATTCAGCAATCACTTATTTAGTGACTGTTTAAGTTATGACAGCACTGAACAAGGGGACTTACAACTGTTCTTTGTAATTGTGGCTGTTGCAGCATCTCTGTGGTCATGTAATCACTAGTAAGGTACCTTGAAATCGGCTGACAATTACAGTGTTCACAGTATCATGTGAACATCATTTGTGATCTTCACCACTGGCTTCCAACAAGCAAAGTCAATGTAGAAGTTAACTGGAGGTCACAGATGTTGATGATGTGACCATAGGATGATGTAACTTTGCAAGATTTGCCTAACAACAGCAATGGGAACTGTTGCATTGTGAGACAACACAATCATGTGACATTTTGCTTTATGAACAGTCCAATTACTGTTAAGCAAGGATTACTTGTAAGAGTTTCCCTCTACTGTATCCATTGGGCTAGTTTGCCATGATGGCTAAGGTTTAATTAAAGCATGGAAAGTCATTAAATGAAGTTGGGCTTGTCAGCATCTTTCAACCCTGTATATCTCACAGTGTTACGTATACTATTTTGAGATCTTGTAGAAAAGACAGAATATAAATTAAATGAATAAATAATACCTCTTAAATGCAATATTTTAGAGCATTTAAAATATGTTTCATTTGAAATTGTCGAGAAGAAAATATTTTAGAATATGCTTCCACATGATAATCTTAAATACTATTGTTTAATTTCTTTAAAGGTTTTATGGCAGGAATTCTTCATATGTCCATGGTGGATTAGATGCTAATGGCAAGCCAGAGGAAGCAGTGTATGGCCAAGCTGTATGTACTATAAATCCTATTTGAAGTTGGATGCTACAAATAAACAAGACTCTTGATAATTAAAAGTTATCTACATTAACAAAATGCTATATCTATATGTTTCTGTTGAATCTCACAATAGGAGCTTCACAATATGAGCTCACAGGAGGATAAATCTTCTCTTGTCTTACTTTTCTTCATTTCTCCTCACTCTATTCATCTTCCTAATACTTAAATGCATGTGATTTAGGAGGAGGGTGCTGGCTTATGCTTCCCATTTTATTATCTTTCTACTATAATTCTTTGTAATACTGTGTCATGTACTTACAAATAATGTCCACTTACTGACTATTCAGTGACTATTCAAAAATACAGTGGTGCTAAATAATAACTTTGGGCTAATTTATGCCCATTTATGACCTTTGCAGCATCCCTCAATCACATGATTACCATTATAATTCAGTATACTTTTTCTTATTTCCAGTGGCAGAACAAAGAGATTGGAGATTGCAAAAAAACAAACAAACAAACCCCAGATTGTTCGACTTCTACACATCAAAAGCAGTGTGTTTTTACAAAAGGGTCAGGCAAAAAAGAGATTGCCTACAAAATTTGCTTTTTTTCTCTTCCCACCTCATAGAACAATGGTGTCAAACTGCCGGCCCACAGGCCGGATGCGTCATGCCAAAACCGCACCCACCCTATTGCCGGCAATGGAAAAAAAGTTGTGATACATCACGTCACATCACGTGACATTGCGAGTTTGATACCCCTGTCATATAGCATAGAGATTGAACAGAGATTTCAAGAGAGTAAGCTGTTTGCATAGTACACCCAGATATGATCTTTACTATAATTACAACATAAATTTAATTTTTTCTACCATCTACTTTAAAAAAGTAGATGATAGAAAAAAATAAAATTATGTTATAATTATAGAGTAAGGTTAATTTAAATTTATTATAAGTGTAGTAAAATGGGAAATCATTTTTTTATATTTTTTTCTTTTTTCCTTCACTTTTGGTTTTATTATTTTTTTTCTCTTTTACTCATCTTAATTGTTAATTTGATGTTATGTTTTTATCTTATTTAAACATTTAATAACATTATTAAGCTAAAGATGTGAAACCGACTAAAAGAACAGAAGTGACAACATGATGATGTGCTACTTGGCTACTCCTTTACCTAGCAGCAGAGTTGCTGCTCCCAGTTAGGGTTGTTAAGCGAGGACTACCAATTCTAGCACTGCAAATTAAATTATGTCTCTCTATGCTGAAGAGAAAAAGGATGTTAATGTAGAGCCTGTACTTGCCTTGTTAGCAGGGCCATGTTTAAAAATGTTGTCTTTGCATTCGCTAGAAACTCGTAGCTAGCTTCCTAAAAGCATTGGTCTTCAGACTGACTAATACGTTTTAATAAAGTATATCACAAAAAACTATAAAGGAACATTTTAAAAATGTCTAATAAAAGAAAAGCTAACTGTTATATTGTTTTTCAGTGTTATTTTTTCTACATAAATGTGTATATTGTAGCAAGTTAATTTTACTTAGCCAGGTTTTTTTTACTATATTTGTGTTTAGGACATTCACAAAAAAGTGATGTCCCTGCAGTTTAGTGAGTGCCGCACTAAGATTCGCCATGTTGATGCCCATGCAACACTGAATGATGGAGTAGTTGTACAAGTCATGGGGGAGTTGACAAACAATGGACAACCAATGAGAAAGTTCATGCAAACTTTTGTGTTGGCTCCAGAAGTAAGTAACATTTTGAATGTTGGAAACAGCAGAGATAGCTGGACTAGAAGCATGAGATGATTACTTTCACATGGAGCTTTGTTTTGAATGAAACTTGTCCACTGCTGTGGTTCAAATAAATGTTCCTAAAATAAGAAGATTGCAAATTGGATTAATTAACATGCTGTTTGTTATTCTGAAGAAATTATTAGCACTTACTACAGTACCACACTGGGTCTTTATAACAGTTAAGTTAAAAAAATTAAATAGTATATGAATATAACATGTTCAATATTGCATAAATGTATTCCATCTTTTTGGAAAGCATATTTTTAATGGGTCATTGTTCACAGTTTCACTTACCCTAACATAGACTAGTTTTGAGAAAATAACAAAGAAATGGCTTGTAATTGACTTCTAGGGTATTTTTTTAAATCTTCCAGTCTAACCTATAGGCTTGAGATTTTCCAAACTTTTATCCAGAAATTAAGCAGGAGAAATCTTGCCTTGTTGGGGGGAGTCATGTAATAGTTGGCCTCCAAAATCCACTTCCTGATAGATGAATATTACACTACAAATACTTGATTATTGTAACATAGAATATTTTTAATAATTGATTATGTATTTGTTTTGGCTGTATGTGGCTGGTGTAATTGAACTACCATTCATAAAAATCATTCTCTTATCTTCTGAGGCCAACACTGAGTTATTTTGCCTCTCTTGTTTTCCTCCTCTGTTTCTGCCCCACCCTTATAAAACTTAGAAAATTATTCAGTCATATTTTAAGGATATTCTTGATTATATCTTATTTATTTATTTATTTATGAGACTTATATACCGCTTTAAGTGCAAGCAATCTCTAAGCAGTGTACACCAGTAAGCAATGTATATATATATATTTACATTGCCCCCAACAATCTGGGTCCTCATACCTAAAGATCTTTTATAATAATTTATAATATAAGCATTACAAGATTAGAATCTTATAAAAAGATGCAAAAAGATTTATTAAACACCACCCATAGTCAATTCTCATGAGATGGGTTGCTTCAGCATACTTTTTTGGATACTTTTTGGTTTCTTTACAGTACCTGCTTTATGTACCAATCTTCCTATTCATTGAGTAATACATTGGATAGCAACTATAAACTTGACAGTCCATAGGTAAGTTATTTAATAGTAGACAAGTATATTACAACATTCTTAGTCATCACTTTCTCCACCTTAGGTTAGTTATGTATAAAATAAATCATTATTTAGGAAACTTTGGAAATTTAATTGATTTTTCATCTTCAGATCAACAGATCACTTAGCAACAGTTCAAAATTATGACAGACCTCCAAAAAATACTTCTGACCAATCCCAAAATTATATATGTTGCAGCACCCCTGCGGTCCTCTGTCTGTAAGACCGATTGCAGACTTTGCAACATCGTCTCCCCACCTTTTTTTTTCCCATCCTGCCCCATCAGGTACCCCCTACTTTGTCACTGATCACTCACTTACTTTTTGAAGATCTCTACAGCTCAGGACGCCAGGATAGAAAAGGACAGACTGCTCCATTGCTGAGCCATATGGCAGAAAAGCGGCCAACTTCTTCTGAGAAGCTGGAAACCCTCCCCCCCCCCTTGTTTCCCTTTTGTCACTAAATGCTAGCCTTCCACTCTTGAGCAAAAGCAAATGGCCAGGGAGAGAAATCTTTTTTTATAGAGTTTTATTTTTTAAAAAACAGAGTTCAATAATAATTATTCAACAAAAACATGCTGTCTAAGTATCCTATTCACTAATACAAATTGAATTCCTAATCCCTAAATCTTTTCTCTAACCATTGATAAAATAGGTCCCAAGTTTGAAAATATTCTGTTTCTTATTTTTCTTTCAACCTTAAAGTAAGTCTGTCCATTTCCGCACAGTCTAATATTTTTTTTTATTATTTCTTCTTCTGGTGGTAATTCATTTTTCCAATATTGTGCGAATATAATTCTTGCCGCTGTTATCACATGTAGAATCAAATATGTACTTTGCTTATCAGGTTTTTCTGGCATTATACTTAGTAAAAAAATTCAGGTTTATAATCTTATGTGTTTCTTTAACATTTTTTCTAACCACATGTGTAATATTGTCCAATATCTCCTTGCTTTAACACATGCCCACCACATATGATAATAAGTACCTGGTTTGTGTTTACATTTCCAACATTTCTCTGACATGTTTTTAAACATTTTTGCTAATCTTGTTGGTGGCAAATGCCATCTATAAAACATTTTATATAGATTTTCTTTGTATGAAGCTGACGTTGTCAATTTATTGTTTCTTTCCCACAAACTTTGCCACTTTTCTAAGTCTATATTATACCCAAAATTCTTTGCCCATACTACTATCATTGTCTCTTTTACTTGTTCATCGTCCATTTTGAAATTTAATTAAAAATTGTACATTTTTAATTAACTTTTCATCAGAAGTTAATAATATCTGTCAAATATAGTCTGTTCTTTGTAAAATCCATACTGTTTATCATATCTGACTTGCATTTGTAAATGTGACCACCATGTTAAATCAATGCCCTGATTTTCCATCTCTTGCCAGGATTTTAAGTTCCATTCAGAATTTAGAATATCTTTGTATGTCCATATTTTATTGAGACTGACTAGATTTGGATGTATGAATGCTTCCATTGTTGAAAGCCATCCTGGAATTTTCAAATACATTTTACATTTTATTTTTTCCCAAGTTAATAATAATATGTTTCTAATGTAGTGGTTTTGGAAGTATTTATGTATTTTATTTTTTCCATACCATAGAAAAGCATGCCAACCAAGTTGCAGGTCATGTCCCTCCAGATACAGCAATCTTTTATTTCTAAGAGTTATCTATTCTTTTATCCATGTTTTAACACTGATGCTTGATAATATAAAATCCAATCTGGCAAGCCAAAGCCTCCATTTCCCTTGGCTTCTTGTAACATTTTCAATTTAATTCTAGCTTCCTTTCCTTGCCAGATAAATTTTTGAATTAGAGAATTTAAATCTTCAAATAATTTTTTTCTGCAGTTTTATTGGTATCGTTTGAAATAAAAATAATATTTTTGTAATATATTCATTTTCACTGTAGCAGTTCTTCCTAACATCGACAGTTGAAGATTCTTCCATTTTTCCAAATCAAGCTTTATTTGGTTTAACAATTTAATGTAATTATCCTCTTTTATTGTTGAACATCTTGCTGTCAAATATAGTCCCAAATATTTGACCTTTTTGAATATTTGCAAGTCTATTTTTTCTGATAACTGCTTTTTTGTTTATCTGTAAAAATTTTAATTATCGCTTTAGTTTTTTCTCTATTTATCTTTAATCCTGCTATCTCTCCAAATTGTTCTATCTTTTCCAACAGTTTAGGAATCATCTCTAAAGGTTCCTCTAGAATAGGGCTTTTCAACCTTTTTACCGATTGTACCACTTTTAGGATATGGCAATATTCAAGTACCACCTAGCAAGGTGTCAAAAACTTGATGACCCCCCCCCCAAAAAAACTGTTCAAAGTTGCAATTGCACTGAAATGACTTATGACCATTTTTCACACTTATGACCATTGCAACATGCCCAGGGTCATGTGATTTATATTTGGATGCTTGGCAACTGATTTATATTTATAATGGTCACAGTGTTCCAGGGTCATGTGATCCCCTTCTGCAACCTTTTGACAAGCAAAGTCAATGGCAGAGCTGCTGGTGGCCAAGTGCTAAAGCAGGACTTCCTTTCCTCCCTTCCCTGCCTCCCTTTTTCTCATTCCCATCTCCTTCTGAAGGAAGAATTTGAACCCCCCCCCCCTATATTTTCCCTCTTCCATATATTGATCAAACAAGGAAAGACCTCCAGAGACAGAAAAGACAAGCTGCTGAGTGAACTAGCTTAAAAAGGCACATTCCTCTTCAAGAATTAGCTACTGGCTAGAAAGGAAAGTAAGGAGCACAGCCGCACTTAAGGAAGAAAAAAAAAATGTAAGTACTGGCTGCTGGCTAAGGCAGCTTCCACAAATGGCTCCATTCATAAGTAAAGGAATGCTACAGGCAAAATCCATTCAGGAGAAAAATCCCTTGCAGCAAAACTTACAGCTAACAACAGCATAGCAATAGAAGCTAACACGAGATATCAGCCAAATAGAAATTGCCAAACACTCCTTAAGAACACAAAGCCCACATTGCACAAATCCCAGAACTTCAAAGTCACAAAAGCACATAAGAATCCTTCCACTCTCCATCTCCTTCCCTCGTGCCTCACCTCCAGCCATTGCTGCCTTTTTTTCATTCGTCTTGGAGGGCGACCCCTCCCCCACTGCATTTCTTGCCTGTTTGCTGCTGCCAGCACAGGTGACTGTCATAGTAGTTGTAGATCGGCTCATGGCCAGCCTGTTTCATCATCATCATCTCCTCTTCCTCCTCCTCCTCCTCCTCCTCCTCCTCCTCCTCCTCCTCCTCCTCCTCCTCCTCCTCCTTCTTCTTCTTCTTCTTCTTCTTCTTCTTCTTCTTCTTCTTCTTCTTCTTCTTCTTCTGTGCAACTGACTCCACCTCCTCCCAAGGCTGCTGCTTTTTTTCTCTCTCCCTCTCCTGCCCAAACTGCCTCCTTTTATAGCCTCTCCTGTCTCCGCCCCTCTCCTCCTTTCTCATGGGGGAGGGTGAGCCAGAAGTGAGCCTGGGGCCTTTGCAGCTCCAGAGGACTCTCTCACTGTAAGTCCTTGCCTGTGCTGGTCTTTCCCTCCCCCACTACACTTGGCTAGTCAGGCTGTGTACTACCTGCCACTCATTAATGTACCACAAGTGGTACGTGTACCACCGGTTGAAAAGCCCTGCTCTAGAATGAATATCAAATCATCTGCAAATGCTTGCAGTTTGTAAGTTCCACATTTTATTTTCAATCCTTTAATTTCTGGATCTTGCCTAATGTTTTTATTTAAAACTTCCAAAGTTAAGATAAATAGCAATGGGGATAATGAACATCCTTGTCTTGTGTCTTTTTGTATATCAAAATT